TTTTTTTTTTTTTTTTTTTTTTTTTTTTTGCTCCTCATGGCTTTCGTGTTCCTTCAAGGTAGATAATTTGTATTCCTCAAGATATTCATGTCTCAATTATGTTTGAACGTTTCTCCACCTTTTCGAAATCCCTTATGTCATTGCTGTAATCCAAATCAGCTATGTACTGCTTTCACTGGAAGCTGAAGCTCCCACTAGCAGACCCAGAGATCTAAACAACAGCACTACAAGGAATTTTCCGATCTGTTAACAATCTCCACTGCCACTGACGCTTTTTCACAAAGTATTGAAGGTGGGTTAACAGTATGAATATATAAACAATGTCATGCCAAAATAAAAGATTTTGACTTCACATGCTAAAATTTCATTGCTATTGTATCATGGGGTTATGTTGAGATCCAGCAATGGATTGACGAATACTCTAGCTATGGAGAGAGCTATTAATAAGTACGATTTTACATTACAAAAGATGGAGAAGACGTGAAACTAACGACTAAAGTTGGGACTGTGACTATTAAAGGGACATTGATTGATGAAGATCTATTGGCAGTTTATAAAATTGATAAGATTTTGCTGCCCATAGAGTTGTTCATGGCAGATGGGAAAAGATGATATAAATAAGGAATAATATTGGGATAGAGCGTACACCACAATATTGTAATTTTTCCCTTTTGTGGTGATAATATAGTTACCCTTCTACTATTTAAAGGATTTCTTTTGTCATTCTACGATGAACGGTCTAGAACAAAACTTGTGTTCTTGTTATGAACTGAAATCCAGATTATTGAGTTTTAGCATGAATTATTGTGTTCTTTATATTAAATAGTTTAGTATAGGTGTGCCCTACATCAATTGGTATTAGAGACTTGTACGATCCAGAAATGCGAGAGGATATGGAGGTTGAAGTGGTCGAAGAGGTCGAGGAGGAAAAAATGGCAATCGGGATGATGAGATTCTTCAGTTACGCATGTAGATGGAGGCATCAGGGGCATTCCACTCTTACAATGGTGCCAAAAAATTTACTCTTCTTGTGCAATGGTAAAATCAGCGCTAGCTTATGGCATGTCTCTATCTTGGTTGCCTGCCATGCTACCAGAACTGGACAATCCAGTGCCTAAATTTTTGCTTTACTCCTTAACAAAGATGTTTCCATTGGGAAGATCGAGTGGATTCTCCTTAATAATTGAACTTCACAGAACTATTTATTCAAGTGGACTATTTTCCTCGAACATTATCTCAAGTCTAAAAACGTCATCTCAATATCCTGGACTCTCAACACTCTGGCAAAAATATACTTACTGCACTTACAGTGATATTTTCCCATTGATCTACAGGACTAACTATTTCTCTTAATCAGTTTCATGGTCTCCTCTACGTCAACACACATTATTCCTGTCCAAACAGGGGTAACTCCAACCAAATTTTGATTTAAAATTGACAAATCACAGGGAAAATATATATGACAAAAAAACTAATCACGGAAATCAATGTAAACCTATAAGATCAGAGATAGTAAAGAAGATCTAAAGAAAATATGTAGATTAAAAAACATAGCCTGAGCTGTACAATAAGGACCCAATGTTTTCATGCTGAAAAGGTGACATGCATAAGTATATCTATCTATGTTTGAATAATGATATAAGATGAATTCAGCTCAAAAGTACTAGGACTTGTTGAACTTTTGCAATTCTTCAATGATTTGGCAACAATTTGCAAACTTTGGATCAACTCAGGATTATGGAAAGAGAAAAATTTAGACCAAGAATTCAGGTTGACTCTTGAAGTATTTGGATATGTTTTATATTAGATTGCCAATAGGCATGAAAGTATAAAAAAATTATGTCAAAAGTCAGACATACCAGAATATGGAAGTATCTTAAATCGTGAGATATCTGCAAATTAAAGAAAGAAAGTGAGGTGATGCTTTAGTCAGGCATCTAAAATTACATTCAGAACACTTAATTTATGTATTTGGGGACAAAGGTAACATACATTCCAAACGGGATCTCCATATATTTCACGGAGAAGAGCCATAGTCAGTGCCTTTTTATCGGCACCAGGAGGTCCCTTCAGCAAGATATGTGGGAAGGTTTCATTGCATGCCTAAG